TGGGTTGGAGAAGTACAGGATTTAATAGTGGCATTGGAAACATTCTCTAACTTCCTGGAGATTTCAAACTCTTCATCAGAGGCTGCTGGGAAGATGGAGGCCTCATTTCCTATCCCACATTTTTCCTAGAAATCTCTTCTTTGTTTTAAAGAAGAGGCCATAACTTTTCTATATTCAGTAGACGAAGATGCTACAGGAAGTTGCCTCAGTCATGGATATATTTATAGTAAATCTGTACTCTGCAGTTTTTAGGGCTATGAAAATCTTTAAAAGTATGTTTTCTTTCAATAATAGTTTGAGGAAAGAAGTTCAAAGTGTCTGAAATAAGCACTGCTGATTGGTGAATCTTACTCATTTCAAATATTCCTTTGAAACTGATTCAATAATGGATCAAATAAAATGCGGTTCAGTGGTGAGGAAAATAAGATCTTACACTTAGGCAGGAAAAAACAAATAGAAAGGTACAGAATAGGCAGTACCTGGCTCAACATAATACCTGTGAGAGGAAATCACAACTTAAGTATGAACCAGCAGTGTATTGCAGCTGACAAAAAAGCCAATGCAGTCCTAGGCTGCATCAAAAGGGAACACGAGAAGTGATAGTACCACTCTATACTGTACTAGTAAGGCCACACTTGAAATGCTACATCCAGGTATGGTCACCATGATACAGAAAAGAAGCTGAGGCTCTAGAAAGAGTGCAGAGAAGAGCAACAGAAATGATGAGTGGTCTGAAGGCTAAACTTAGGTACGTTTAACCTAACAAAGACAAAGCTTAAAAGTGACACGATAGCTGTTTTCCAATACTCAAAGGCTGTCATAGGAAAGAGGGGATTGATTTGTTCTGCAAAGTACCCGAGGACAGAACAAGAAGCAATGGGTGGAAGCTCATCAGAGAGATCCAAAATGAAAGTAAGGAAAACTTCCTGACAGTGAGAACAATTAATGGAATATCTTGGCTCCTAGAGTTATGGGTGCTCCGTTGCTGGTGGTTTTCAAGAAAAGATAGGATAACCATTTATCTGGGGTGGAATAAGGACTCCTGCCTAGGACAGGGTTGGAGTAGAAGACCTCCAAGATCCCTTCCAGCCATATGATTCTACAATTCCATTTATGTGAAATAGCCAATCCAGTCAGATTGGCCTTGCATCCATTGCTTTTTAGTAATGGTAACTTACTCAAGCTGTTCACGCTGAGTCCTTGCAATATTCTCAGAATGACAAAGTGAGAATGAATTTCTCATTTGAATTCAAGATGTTACATTTAAGTTTCTCATTTAACTTGAAGATGAGTTATCTGTGAACTACACAGATCTATCTCTTCTATAATGTTTAGGTCTCTAATCTGTCCTCTTATGCTTTAACTGAGGGTACTTCCACACTGCCATTGTTTTCATTCTTGAAAACTTCAGAAGTTCTTTGAAAGTGAATAGTAATTGTCTTCTGTTAGCTTGAAATGACAAGAATAATGGAAATAATTTTCCTGGCCCAAGCTACTTCAGGTTCAGAAGCAATAAAAAGCCTTGCACCTCCAATTTAAAAAGAGAAGGAGAAAGTATTCAGTAGTCTGGGAGAACTTAAATAACACATGAGCTGAAAAGAGATGTAGCTATCTTAATGATGTTCAAATGGAAGTCTGCAAAAAAAAAAGACACAACTGCTTTAATAAAATCTGAAAATGCTGTGTTCATTTGAGGTCAGAAGCATTTTTGATTAATTTTCAACATGTCTTCTGCCCTATTTTAAAATAAAGCATCTTAGTTTTTCAGTTCTCTTGATACTGGGAAAAGAGATTCAGAACTGCTTTAATCTGGCATAGAAACTTGTAAAAGTTTCCTATTTTTTCTTCTATTCAACAATTCATCTAGACTTCTGTCATTTTTCTGTTCTTTTTTCCCTGTTACAAATAGTAATGCTGTGTTGGGCCACAGGAGGGAACTGACATATTATTAATGTAATTGGGCAATTTTTCAATGCTGCTACAGTAAAAATGAGTAATTCTTAACAAAAACTTCCTGGTGCAAGACAACAAAGTATTTATATCAAACAGCTTTGCATAAACAGCCAAATTTGATTTATAGTGTCTTTCTCTTGTTTCACCAACTCTGTGAAAGAGAATTCTCATTTGTCACCTAATTTTCCATAGCTACCGTATTAGCACATTTTTTCATTATAGTAAAACAAAATTAAAATTGCCTTGTTATAATTGCCAAACTTTAACAAAGGGTGCTATAATAGGTGCAAACCAGTAGATGTCAGTGTTATGTTTCAGTACACTTAACAGCTAGCAATTACTCTGCAGTTAGCTTTATAATCACTAAGAAAAAGTTGGAAGCTGGAATTGATCTATTCTTTGTGACAACTAGACCAATCGTTAAATCAAAAAGAATTTAAGAATAATATAAATAACTATCTTCAAGTGTTAAAACACCTGCCGAGGTTAGAAAGTGGATTGGATAAAGAGTGATACATTATGATAGGTGTTACATTACAACATATAAGCTGAACATGCAATATAAAAGATACAGTAAAATGATAACCCAGGTCAAGGCCTTCTCTGTAAAAACATAAAATACCTATAACAATTATCCTTTTTGTATCATAGTTTGCTTTTGCTGGACAGCTTCATAACTGCCGGAATTATACATTCTTGCACTGCCCACCTAGCAGTTTGAAAGCATGCAGTTGCAAGTAAATTTCGGTGGAAAGGTAATAGCGTTCTGTGAAACTTTGGCATTTAGCCATGCTGGCCACATGACCACAGAAAATATCTTTGAACAACACTGGCTCCCTCGGTCAAGATGTTTCATTACCCAAACAAAGTAACATCATCAGTGCTAGAAAGGAATGGGGTTTGCTCTCAGTTTATACTCTAGTGGCCTGCCCTGTGTTGGTGAGAATAGTCTTAGAGATTCTTTTGTTGGGTTATTTGTTGTTAGTTTGGCAGTTCCTTGATTGAGGTATTGTTTACTTCTTGATTGTTGGTCTGATGTTAATATTGATGTTAATTTATGCTCATCTGTGTGTTGATTGCTGGTGGTGAGGTAATATAATAACGACGACGACGACAACGATGATGATGATGATATGTTAGAAGGTCCAATCTCCTGCTCAGGCAGGAAACCCTATAGCAGGGATCTTCAGACTTGGCCCTTTTATGACTTGTGGGCCAAGTTTGAAAACCCCTGCTCTATACCATTTCAGACAAATGGTTGTCCAATCTTTTCTTAAAAACTTTCAGTGTTGGAGCATTCACATCTTCTGGAGGCAGGTTGTTCCACTGATTAATGTTTTGCTCTTTTTGTTCCCTTTTTGGCTTGTTGATTGTCTCTTTTATACAGTATGTCTGTATGACTATTGATGGCTAATTTGCCAGAATGCCAGGCTCACTAGAGAATTTCTCTAGCAGAGTTTATACAACTCTAGAGAGTTGTATATGTTACTCTCCTTCTCAAGAGCTACAATCAATAGCAATGTGCAGGTTGCTCATTAATGGACAACTTTCTATGCCCACAGATAGTCCCTGACTTGCAAGCAGTCACGAGGCAACTGTTCAAAATTATGATTGATCTATAAAAGGGGACTTATGACCTGGATCTGAAGTTCCAATAGTCAGCCCCCCCCCCGTTATGTCAGTGACATAAACTCATTTTACAAGGGTTTTGCCAAACATCAGCAGATACCCTCTCTCCCTTTCTCCCTCCCTCCCTCCCTCCCCCCTCTATCCTTCCCTCTCTCCCTCCCTCTCTCCCTCCCGTCTCCCTCCCGTCTCTCTCTCTCTCTCTCTCTCTCTCTCTCTCTCTCTTTCTCTCTCTCTCTCTCTCCTGCCTTGACAAGAAATTGATTCAAAGGCTGAAAAATTTCATTCAGCCAATTTTGGGGGTCTGGGAGAAAGCCCCCCTTGAAACCCCCTTTTTGGCAATAGACTCAGCTTCACCTGCAGCCAAATTGCTTCCCTCTTCACACCTGGGAAGGTTCCTGATTTGGGGGAGGGAGTCCAAAAACACCCACAAACATTAAAACTAAAATTCGGGTCATAAGAAACACACCCTGCGGCAAGTTGTCCGGCACTGAGTTGACTATGGCAAGTTGGGTCCCCCTGACCCCCCATCCCGGGCAGAAGCTGCCATCAGGTAGTGGGACCCCTCCCCACCTCCTTCCTCAGGAATGGCCAGTTCCTGAGGCTGGGAAGGAGGCCGGCCAGCTGCAGGCAGAGGGTGGTCTAGGGGGGATCTCCCACTGAATCCCCCCAAAGGCCCCCCTTGATATCCCCAAAAATCTCTTCTGTCCACCCTGCTCTGAAAGAGGGATTTGGGGTTTGTCAGTCTTCAGTCAGGAGGAGAAGCTCTTCCTTCAGGGGATTCTGGCAGTGATGGGGAGCAAATGGCTGCCCTTCATTGGGGTTCTTTGCCCTTTCCTTAAAAATGTCTCTGTGTGTAGATGCTGCCTAAAATTGTTGGGTTTTGCAACCACCTCACACTTTGCACTTTTCCCCCTTGAATCTTCTGCTGGATTTTGCTTATTTTTGTATATTGGGGGTCACAAAGGCAAAAAAGGGAAAGTGAAAAGGAGAAAATTTCTTTCTCCAAATAAAACTTTTTGAAAAGTGATTGAAACACAGGAGAAAATTAGGAGAAAGATGGGCCTTGGCTTGAACCAATCAAGCTTTTCTGAGATGGCTTGGGAGTTCATGGTCTTCATAATAGCCCTGGGCCTATCCTAGATCATTCAAAGCCCGATGCAGGATCGTGGTCACGCTCTAGATCTGGTATTCATGTCAGAGCAGATTTAGTATCATTTGACTTCCACCATTTCCTCCAAATCAAAGGAAGTGGGCATCTATTTGCCTCAAAAACTGGAAAAGACTGTCGAGATCTGGTTGAAGAGACAAAAGTATGGAGGGTTTTGTTCCTTTTTTTAAGCAGCTTGTCTCATCGGGGGCAGAAGTATGTAGCAAATGGTGGTCATTGCAAAAAGAAATAAATACTATCATCAAAAGGATTCATTTCAAGAATAATTTATTTTATTAATTACAGTATCACTAATTAAATTAAAATTGTGAAAGTAGAGACATTGCTTTTCATTAACCTTCTTACATCACTTTTTAAAATTTTATTGAGGGCGGGCAGGGCGCCTAGAAATAATTCTTGTTAAATTACTTTTGTATATTTTACAGAATTTCAAGCAATTAAAACTTAAAAAAAAACCCACCAAAAACATGGTTTGTGCAGATGCAGAGCAATTGGATGCTGTCCATGATATTCACCCCAAATGCTCAAGGTTCTGTAAAACTGACCTGGAATTCAAGGATTTGTCTCTACTTCTTTTCTTAAGGCTTTGAGTGAAAGTTCATATCCAAGGAATGTGGCAGCACTTACAGGGAATCCTCGCACTGTATTCACTGTAAGACCTCTGAAAAAGACCTAATTATAAGAAAAAAGAAAATGTTACGTCTGTCAGAAATTTTTTGAAGAAATTATTTGAACAGGGAAGAAAAACCAGATATCGAAAAAGGTCTATTTTCACGTCATTATTTTATAAGAAACACAAAGAATGGCCTCACCTAAATGATTTCTCACAAGTTTCTACATTGTATGTATTAACATTATGTCTTTTAAACATCCAGTATTATAATTACAAGGGGGAAATAAGCAACCTATAAACCTACACACAGAATACAAAGAGAGCCAGTTGATAGATTCTATGTAGTGGAACAATATCAAGATCAAAGTTTCCCACAACGAGGTTTCCAATTGCTCAGACACTCAAGGGTCTGAAAATACTGTGGATACATGTCTATTTGTCCAGTACTGCAAATGGGAATGCAAGCTTGATGGTGCCTTTCCTTCTATATTCACCTATACCCTGCCCTTTATCAATTCTGCAATATCATGTTCTTCTAGGCTTCCAATTTTTTTCAACGTAGGGCAGTCCAAGGTTGTTGTCTTCAGGTTTAGAAAGTGTTGTCTAAGCAGTACTCAGATTTCATAAAATCCAGTCTCCTTAAAGAACTTTCCTATCATTGTTCTGTTCCATTTCAGGATTAGCTTCAGATCTCATGTGAGATGTAGAATCCATCTATTTCTGCTTTGGTTCCAGTTTACTACAGTAAATCTTAAATCACTGTAACATTATACTCTCTGCTGACCTTGTAGTCTGCTTTTCCAATGGTGTGAATTCTTGCCATAACCTGTTTCCCAGGTACTGGCTCAAGCCAGTCTTACTTACTTTTTCTCTTTCTTTCTTTTCCTTCTATACTATGATTCAGCATGCTATACCTGAAGCTTTCTTCTTCTTCTTCTCCTCCTCCTCCTCCTCCTCCTCCCCCTCCTCCTCCTTCTTTATTCCCAGAAATATAGTAAATCCATCTGGGATAGTACCATAAACCCATAGTCTGAATGATTAGGAAAAATGGTTGGCTACAATAAACTTTCATCTTCACAACTCACAGGTCTTTTAATGTAAAAGAGGAAATGTGTCAAAATTTCTGGGAAGTTTGGGAAAATTTCCATGTATGTAAAAACGTGAATAATTTTTTCTCGCATCAGGCCTATCATAATAACTTCCCCATTTGTTTACAAGTGTGTGTGTGTGTGTATACAGACACCAACTTTGAGAGAAAACAATCATAAGCATTCTGGCTTAAAAATAGAGGTGCACCAATGCACAAAACTGAAATATTTTAGCATTTATATATAAAAGTTGGGTTCAGGACTCACAAGCAGATTCTGAAGAATTGGAGAAAGATTAGTAATGGAGAGTTTGACCAGATAACTCAGTAATGACATCAGGATGAAAAGTCCTTCAAGAGGCTCTTTTTTGAAGATGGTGATGATAGTGGTGATGACTTTTTTAGTTACAACATTCTGATTATGAAATACTTTCTCTAGAAAGAACCAGTGCACATCTAATAATACTATTCCAACATCAAGGAAACGTGCCCGGAAATTTTAATATAGTGTTCATGTTATTGTTAGCATGTATTGCTGCTTTAAACATTATTTTATAATATTTTTATTGTTTATATAAGTAACTTAGTTTTAAACTGAAGCTGATGACTGTGTGATCTGGTGCATAGTTGATGCAGAACATATTCTCAGATGCTGCTATTCTCTTTGACCTGACTATCAGCCTGAAGAAGACAAAAGTACTTTATAACAGACAGTGTAACTCTGGTATTATATTAACTCTGTAGAACCTCTAAGTTGTCCATGCAAGGAATACAAAGATGCTGGTAAAGGATACCCTATGCCACTGTGACATCCTGCCATGGGAACTAGAAGCTGTGACTGCTGACAGAACCCACTGGCAAGTCCTATGCTATGAAGCCTCCAGTGGCTTTGAAGACAGGCACCACCTAAAACTGATAAAAAAGGGTAAGTAGCACCACAAAATAACACCCACAGTTATAACCATGGCCTTCCAGTGTCCCCATTTTGCTATAGATTCTGTGCTTTTAGGCTTGGACTGCAAAGCCACATCTGTCCACAGATAAACTGCACAATAGAGTGTCGTCTTTGAACCCAAAGAATATGTGTGTGGGGGGGGAGGGAGTATTCATGTTATATTTACTTACAGATCAGAATAGCTAAATTAATATCCAACAAAAAGTAATCAAGTGCCTTTGATTTTATGTATCAACATTGATTTCAATCTGTGATAATTGATAGTAATAGATGGAAAGAGTTCTAAGTAAAAGAGTTGCATAAATATTATACAATAGTTTACTATTGTGAAAATGCAAAAGAATTGACTGATTTTTGTTCTATAGGCTCTCACTACAATAATTTGATTGACTCAGCACCCATAATGCTTTGCTCCATAGATGGAAGGAAACTCTTTCCCACTTCCCTGCCCTGGTTGTGTTCATATAATGTTCTCATGGATATGATTGTAGACAGAGCCAAGACAGATTGAATTTTTTTTTCTTGGCATTAGTGCTTGGAGGAAAAAGGTTTGCTGATCTAATTCCAAATAAATGGGAGGGGACTCGTCCATTCCTAATTACTGATTAAAAATGAACAGGAAAGCAGAATACATCAGCAGATTACTTGCTCAGGTTTTTCTCTAAAATATCCTTTAGATTAGGGGTAGGTATTTTTGGGGAGTGAGAACCACACTCAACAACACAAGCTGAGCAAAGGGAAGGACTTGCTCACAAATGTGAAGGAGGCCAAGATTTGGAGGGGAGGATGTCTGGAAGGGTGTTACAGTTCAGGAGAATTGTTCTTTTAGTCATTCTTTTTTTAAAAAAAAAATGCTTAGGGCCTGCTCTCTAATGTTTTTGTGTGTGCATGCACAGGGATTAACTTTCTGCCTCAAAATTGTAAGAAGCAGTGTCTTGATGTTTCTGATTTTCACCAGTGACTAATTATCAAACAGTTGTGAGATCCTAAGGGCATGGGAGAAGTGAAATGAAGATAAAAAGAGAAGCAGCTACCCTAAGGACTGGGCAAGTATAAATCAGATGTAGACATAATATTAGAAATAACTCTGTAAACCACATCATAAATATTGTTGCTATGACTTGTTTGATGAATCAATGTAAACAAAATATGAGCCAGAAACCAATAATTTGCCCCCAAGAAAGGTTCAGATTGAAACCATGATGGCTGCAAAGTAATCAGGATGAGATTAGCTCCTTTGTCTTCCATATACAAATCCAGTCCCCCATGTTCTCTCCCTCTCCCTTCTTACCTCTCTCCCCCACCCCCTCTCTCCCTCCAGTAGAAATTCAGGAGGAGGCAGCTGTATTTTCAGGTACAACTTTAGTCAACCTAGTCATTTTCACTACTTAGAATTCCAAAATAATGCTGAAAAAGGATTTCTAGAATGTTTAATCCAAGAAATCTGGAAGGCCCTTGAATGGTGAAGATCATCCATCCATCCATCCATCCATCCATCCATCCATCCATCCAAAATTCAATTTTTGAAGGCCATTGACTTCCAAACAGGTACAATCATATTATTTTAAATAAACAGTCTATCACATTCCATGTTAGAATTCATCTAGCAGGGAAATGGCATTCTTTCACAAAGAAAAAGATTAAACAATCTCGTGAATGCCTGCAGCCAGTGAGAAACTGGCTTTGGAAATGCCCATGGAGATATAACAGCAAGATTGATATTCTTAAATTGATATAATGTGATGACTGAGACAAGCACTGAGATTTTCTATGTAAATTTATATTGATACTCAGTATGTCTGTTGAACCAACTACTATGCCTGCAGAAAAATAAGCGTGGAGAGTGACAGTATAAATGTCTGAGCTGTATTTTGAATTATAAATGGGTTCATAGCAAGATTGACTAGATGGAGCAGGATTGAACAGACAAGAATAACGTTTTGAAAAATAAGTCAATTTATTAACTTTTGGGACTTAAGACTATAATTCCATTGATAAATTGTACAAGGTCTTGCCAACTGATGCTATCAGCAGAATAGAAGTCTTGGATTTATGGATTATTTGAAATGCCGTTGTTGAATATATTCAAAATGAGGCACTACCTCAAAAATGGGCAAAGAATTTATAATTTATGAATATCATAAAAAAGGAAACTGGAATATATTTGGGACATATGATATGCCATGAGAAATATCATTTACTTCAACTAATTGCAGAAAAAAAAGTCCTAACAGAAAAATCTTATTTTCATATTTGGACAAAAAAAGAGACTTATTTCTGTTAGTAAGATCAAAAAACCAAATAAAATTATGCTCACCATACTTTATTGCTTTGCTTCAGACATCTAATTATTAGGCTTTTCTATTTATAACTGTGTAAAACTTTAAAAAAGTGTTTTGCTTCAATAAAGGGTTGTGTAAATGATGCTTTGGAAATAACCCAAAACAACCCCCTGATCTACCTCCAGTACTTCTTGGGGTTGCTGGGCAAGGATTCAGAGTGATGTGCATTCCATTCTTGGTGAGAATCATATTTTGTGGTACCAACTATCTCCATGAACCATAATGCTCAAAATTCTGGTGGCTGCCTGCATAGGAGGAAGACCATTAGAGGTCCCACCTCTCATTGCTGTACCTGATTTTGTGAGCTAATATATGAAATTACATTAAGTCTTCAGCTAACGGAAATGGGATGACTTTCTTGAGAATTCCAGGAATTTTCCAACATCGCAGGAGGACTGAATTGGAACCACTGATCTACTAACATGTTATAAGAAAAAAAGGGAATCCAGAAGGGTAAAATCACCTGGGACATCCCTGTTGATTTAGTTTTAGTTGCCCATATTTTTGTTGCCACCTTCAAAATTCATATATTGTTACAAGCTACAATTCAGAGTCTGATCTTGACTCTGGAGATGTTACTCCAGCTGAACCTGTGCTTCATAATACCTTCATAAATGACTTAGATAAGGGAATAGAAGGTGATCTCATCAGATTTGCAAATGACATTAAGCTGGCAGGAACAGCCAACACCTCAGAAGACAAGCTCAGGATCCAAAAAGATCTTGATAGACTTAAACAATGGGCGCTATCCAACAAAATGACATTTAATGTGGTAGAAAAGCAAGGTTTTACACCTAGGCAGGAAAAAACAAAGGTACAAGTACAGAATAGGTGAAACCTGACTCAAAAACAGTAACTGTGAGATGGACCTTGGAGTCCTAGTGGATGATCACTTAAACATGAGTCAGCAGTGTGTGGCAGCAGCCAAAAAAGCTAATACAATCCTTGGTTATATAAACAGAGGCATAGAATCAAAATCACATGAAGTATTATTACCACTTTATAAAGCCTTAGTAAGGCCGCATCTGGAATACTGCATCCAGTTTTGGTCACCACATTACAAAAAAGATGTTGAGACTTTGGAAAAAGTGCCAAGAAGAGCAACTAAGATGATTAAAGGCTTGGAGACTCAAACATATGAAGAACGGTTGCAGGATTTGGGAATGGCCAGTCTAGAGAAAAGAAGAACTAGCAGGGACATGTTAGCAGTATTCCAGTATTTGAGAGGCTGCCACAGGGAGGAGGGGGTCAACTTATTTTCCAAAGCACCAGAGGGCAGGAGAAGAAATAATGGCTAGAAACTGATCAAGGAGAGAAGCAACCTGGAATTAAGGAGAAACTTTGTAACAGTGAGGACAATTAACCAGTGGAACAGCTTGCCTTCAGATATTATGGGTGCTTCATCACTCAAGGTTTTTAAGAGGAGACTGGACAGCCACTTGTCTGGAATGATATAGGGCAGAGATCCCCAACCTTTTGGGCACCAGGGACTGGTTCCGTGGAGAGAGGTTTTTCCACGGACTGGAGAGTGCGTGGTTTTGGGTGCTGCCTGCATCTTGTGGATGAGACTTTGCTTGTTTATGCAGACCAGTTGCTGGCATGCCGTGGCCCAGTACTGGTCCATGGACCAGGGGTTGAGGACCCCTGATATAGAGACTCTTGCTTGAGTAGGCCTCAAGCACACCTGGAAGACCTCCAAGGTCCCTTCCAGCTTTATTCTGATTATTCAGAATTGTCAGCCTCAGGAATCAAAAAGCCAGGATTCAATTGAGGCTCATTAGTCACAGGCATCTCCTGTTCGAATGGAGCAATCCAATGATGAGACATAAGCCCCAGGTGTTGATACATAAAGAAGCAAGCAGAAAAATTTTCCTCAATGAGACTTCTTGTGAAACAAAAATCAAGGCATGAGTAATTGCAGCCAGTGCTGCAGATAGATTTAGGTACTTGTGTCCTTACTGGAGACAACTGTTTGTCTATCCAGCTCTTGAATTGTGTTCTTGCTTCTTATTTGTGGCTCTTAACTCTTGGACCATCCGACTATTGATTTGGAGTCCTGTGACTTTTGGAATCTCTATGGCAGACATATCAAACACAAGGCCCGAGGGCCAGATGCGGCCTGCAAAGTGGTTTCATGTGGCCCGTGAAGCTATTCTGGAAACAGTGAGGGAACGACCTGCGCTGCTTTGGCCCTGGCCCAGGCCAGCCGGGAGCCAATGTACAATTTTGTGGTAGCCATCTATGCTGAAACGCATTCAGTCTTAGCTCCACAAGGCCGTCTAGAAACAGCAAGGAACCAGCCCCTGCCGCATCATCCCCACCCCCTGGGTGCATGCTGGGGAGGTGTCACCCTTTGTGAGCAACGAAGAAATGGACCATGCCTTGGCGCTTGCCCTGGTCCCACCCCCTTCACCAGAGACCCTCAGATCTCTGCCCAGGCCCCCACAGGCACCCTTGACACAAACAATGTAAAGCTGGCCATGCCCACCCAGTAGGCCACACCCACTACATCCACACCCACCCAGTAGGCCACACCTACCCTGGCCACATCCATCTGGCCCCCCGAGGGCAACCACAATGCTGATGCAGCTCTCAATGAAATTGAGTTTGACACCCCTGCTCTATGGACAACACTATTGCTACTTGGACTGTGTTCAACTCCTTTCAGGCAAGCATTTTTTGCTAAGCATTTCAATTGCATCTCTGTCTGCTATTATTTGCCTAAACTACAGCAAATATTCTTGCTTCTAAAGTGCTGTGTGTATGTGAGGGAGAGAAAGAGCAACCTTGAAATATATATTTTGCTTGAGCTGCAGTAATTACATTAATCAATTGAGAACTATAACATGATGTGACAATGCCGCTTCAAATGAGATAATGAATGAGACTTCTTAGTGGTGCTGATTCCATTTTGCTATTCTGATCTCATAGCTGCTGATAGACCTATTCTACAAGTTCTGCTCTATTTATATATCTATTTTTAAAATTACTAAATTTATACCCTCCATTTCTATGTATTTGATCATCAAGGCAGCTTACAATAAAAAATTTAAATATAAAGTAGAAAAACATTAATAAAATTAAATCCATATAAAGTATATTTAAATTACCTTTGAAAAACACCTGAGAAAATGGCCAAAATTCTGGTCCTTATATTTTGACTAGAAACTTTATGGTATGGTTTTATTGAAATTTTCTCGGTGTATCAATATTTATCAATATCCATTGGTGGATTTGAAGGTATCAGACTAATGGAGATCAGACTAATGAAAGCAGCATTTTTGTATCACTTTTTTCTACATGCATGCCTAAAGGTTGTGGTGTGATGTGATGCTGCCTTTGTCATTCTGCCTTTGTCATCCACTTCCCATGGATGCACCTCTATAATTGGGATAATTTATTTATATTAAGTTTGTTACCAATAATGTAGTATTCTCAAAAGGTTAGTGCTTACTTTTAAACCTTCACTGTTGTAACTTTGATAGATACAGTCAATGACTCCTTTGTATTTGTTTAAATAAACCCCATCTGCTTGGAGACGACATTTCACAACATCCATAGGAGTTGCTGTTCCCCAGGATATGATTCCTAGGGAGAAATTGGTAGATGTTAGTCATTAGATAGACAATACACTTTGAATTCATTTATGAAACCAAATAGCTGAATTAGTATCTTTTGGAATGAAGGAATTGGAGAAATCTTAAAAATTGGGGATAGGGGATTTGTAAAAGCAAAACATTTTGGTTTAGAAGTATTTTTGCTAAGGTGGGGAAAGAGTGACAAAATGTTATTATAGGTAATCCTTGCTTAATGATTGCTCTGTTTAGCAACCATTCAAAATTATGATGGCACTGAAAAAGTAACTTTACAACCAACCATCTCAGCACCCCCACAGACATGTGATCACCATTTGAGCACCTCACAACTGGTCGGGACTTGCAACCATTGCAGTGACTCTCAGCCATCTGACCACTACGTGTATGCTTCACAGCTGGTTTCTGTCAAACAATCAATGGAGAAGTACACTCGCAAGTTGTGATTATGTGATCTCTCTCATTATGATGATAGGTGACTCATTTAATGACTGCAGAGACGTGAGGTTATGAGTCCATCAAAATAATCATCAATGACTTGCTGATTGGAAATATCCCTGCCATCAATGTAGCCTAGAAATATGGGCTAGAAATATGTTTTTATTAAAGTTTTTAACTTTAAATTAATTATTTCCCCCTTTCTAGTTCCTGCACCTCTGACACGAGACAAGATGAGTCCAAGTGATGTTTTGCTTAATGACTACATCATTTAGCAATCAAATTGATAGTCCCAATTGTGATCATTAAGCAAGGGCTAACTGTATAATTAACAGACTTATTTTGAAAATGAAAATATAGCTAAAAGTTCTCTAGAATCCCAACAAGGCCTCTGTAGATAATGCTTTATCACAAAGACCATCTGTTTAAGACTTTAACCTTGTTTGTTCTAGGTTCCAAGCTGTCAATCAGACTATTTTGTATTTTTGTGTTCTATTGGGACACAACCTAAAATGTTTAATTGTACTTTTAGGAGGCCACTTGAAATATTTTGAGTATTCCAGCCATAAAAAACAATAAGCACTCAGAAGAATCTCTAGCTTCCTTGCTTTTCATACAAGGGCTTTACAAATAGATGCATTGGTAGTACAAATTGACTAGTAGCTGGAGTCCATCCTGGCCAAAGTGATGACTTCAAAAATATTTTTTTAAACATTCCCTTAGGAAATAATAGGGCAATGTTTAAAAAAACAACAACAGAAAAATGTAGTTAATTTAGGTTCTATCAGAAAAATTCTGGAATTCTTCCTTCAACAGATAAATATTTTCAACTTTAAAAAAAAAAAATCCAAAAACAATGACATCCAAATCAAACTGAGATACTGTAATAAAAGAATGACATACAGGGAAAAATGTCTGATACAAGTGCTCCAATTTAGATACTTGCACCAGATGTCAAGACACGAATATGTAAGAGCAGTAGTTTCATGATGATATCACCACATATATGTTATCATTTTGGTATCCACACAGTTTGGATGCCATCTTATAAATATTTTTGCCATTTGCCATTCCTGCTCCCCTTAACATGATAATCTGAATCAGCATGATTTTCAATTAGAACCTCTTCGTCTGAAGAGGCAGACAGACAAAAATGAGAAACAACAGATGAATTTTATTATTCCCTTGACCAATTTTTCTGTAAACTCGGTGACAGATAACAGCAAGGATTATTACTCCACCTTTTTAGCCAGCCTATGGACAAAACATAAAAGCAACTGTTGCTTTTTGCTGTTTCGTTAGTTGGAGAAAAAATAGGCTACTAGTGCTTAACTACATGAATAAAATTAATATTTATGTGGTGGGAAAATAATAATTTTGCCAGGCTCTGCAATGTAAAGTATCTCATAGTCATAGTCTCAGAACAAACCCACAAAACAATAGTCCAGACATAGTATTAAAAACTACCCAAATGTTCAAAACAGCTGTTTTGCTCCAATATTGAAGAAATACAAATGCCTTGTTTAGTATACTAATATATTCTATATTAATTTAGCATTTTAATGTTCACACAATCATATTTGAGGTCCAAGTATTTTGAGGATCAAAAGTTTTCGCATTCCTAATTATGGCCCTTACTGTTGCCCACCAAACAACCACGTTTCTTCTCAACAATTATATTAGGATTAACTACATTATTATGTAGGGTCTCCCTGCAGAAACATTGTGATGGAATCACAATGCCCAATCCCCAACTATGACACTTTGACACCCGTAGAAAGAATGATTAGGGCATATTCAAATAGCTGCAGGAATACTACCATCTCTTTCCCATAGGAATAGATAATGGGACTAATGGGTAATGAAGGAAAAGTTCTTCCTACTGGTTAGAACAGATGTGGACATTTTATGGGCTGCAGGCCACATTCAGTCTGTAGACTGTTCCAGTTCGACCTGCAGTGGCAAGCATCATTGGGGCTGGGCCATCATTAGTGTTGGCAGTGGGGTGTTGGCTGTAGGGGGAGGAGTGTCATGAGGGGTGGGGCATTGTCGGGGCGGAATGGCAGAGCAGAGCATTACGAAGGGCAGGGCATCATTGGGGGGCAGTGGCCCTCAACAACAGCTTCAGTTTCTCATGTGGCCCCTTGGGAAAATTAATTGTTTACCCCTGGGCTAGAACAAGCCTAGGTTTCCTTGCTTTATATGATATTATTAATGTAGCAGTTTAAGGTTATCCCTAAACTGCTACATTAATATATTTGGACCATTTATTTGAACCATCTCCATTATTCCATGCCCTACCCATCATTCTCTCCACAGGTGTCACAGTGTCATCGATGGGAGTGGGGCGTTGTGATTCCATCACAATGTTTCCACAGGGAGACCCTACATAATACTAAATACTAAAATTACTTACCCCAATACTAAATTACTTTTACAACTAGAAAAGTTTCAAGTTAACAAATGATCTTGATACATAAAATTATACCGAGATGTTGAATGGTAGGTGTAATATGAAATCAATCCTAAAAAACATTAACTCAAAGTAATTTTAAAAGAAGCAACTATTTTATATTCAGGTAGTCCTCATCTTACAACCATTCATTTAGTGACCATTCAAAGTTATAATGGCATTGGAAAGACAGTTGCAGCATCCTGGTTGGTCACATGATCAACATTCAGACACTCGGCAACTGGAATGTATTTATGACAGCTGCAGTGTCCCAGGAATATTGCGACTATCTGACAAGTAATGTTAACAGGGAACCTAGATTCACTTAGAAAATGTGTTACTAACTTAACAAGTGTAGTGATTCACTTAACAAGTATGGCAAGAAAGGTTGTAAAAGGGGACAAAACTCACTTAAGAACTGTCTTGCTTAGCAACAGAAATGTTAGGCTCAGTTGTGGTTGTAAGTCGAAGATTACCACTAAATGTTTTACATTCAGAATAAATGAGTGCCACTCAAACATGGTATAATCTTAAAATTCTGCATACCTCAAACACGATTGCACCAGAGTTTCAGATAAATGGACTGTACATTATAAGTTAACCTATGTTTTGCACATTGCTCTATGTCTGTGAATGTTTTTACAGAGCATTGGCTTGGAGGAATGTGGTTAGGTTGTGCTACTCTTGTGAAATGCTGGAAAAAAAAATCTATTCATGTTAACCAATAACTGGCTTTGCTTTTATGTGAGCCAGTGCCAAGGTTTGAAAATAATTGGACAGATTAAGTACTGACTGCAATGAAAATCTATTATTCCAAATAAACCAGGAGACCCGTAAAAGAGAGAAGAGAATAGCCAAATGGTTTCATATTATTTTATAAATTAGAAGACCAACCTACAATGGCACAAAGCAGAAATTACTATCTTCAATAGAAATTGTTAAATGAGAAGAGAGAGAGAAAAAAAGGAAAGTCCGTGATTTTCTGTGAGGAGGAAAAAAAGGAAAGTTTGTGATTTTCCCCACATTCATGTATTTAAAAATAAGCTAACTGTAACAATACATGACTTAAAAAAGAGATCAAATTTTTTATCTACATTGTGATGATACATGCCATGATAACATTAAATCAGATTTACAACCTTGACCTTAGAGATATTTCTTCCCCTTTCCCCTTTTCTAGTAAAAGAAAAATAGATCTGATTATGTATTTTAACATTTCTCAAAATCTCATCCCCAACATGTCATATTTTCTTTTTGTATCCTTGCCAGTATAAACGCCCTTGAATATCTGTGCTAACTTTACTGGAATAGTACACACTGGTATGATCAAGGTATTTTGTTTGGATCTAGATTTTCTGATGTGACTTGGTAGACGATATTTTCATTCAGTTCTGTTCATGTAACTCTGAATCAATCAACCAGTTTTAATTTTGGTCACAGATCAGTTTATAATTAGTAACATAACAATTATGCTAAAGAAGAAATAAAAATAAAAACTCATAATAACAGAATAAAATAAAGATAAAATTATTAAAGTAGGAAAACAAAGTACGGATATAAAATGCAAAAGAATTCTATAAAATTACAATTAAATTTTACAGTAAATAATCTGAATAGCAATAGCACTTAGACTTATATACTGCTTCATAGTGCTTTACAGCCTTCTCTAAGCGGTTTACAGAGTCAGCCTATTGCCCCCAACAATCTGGGTCCTCATTTTACCGACCTCAGAATGATGGAAGGCTGAGTCAACCCTGAGTCAACCACTCAGAATCAAACTCCTGGAGTGAGCAGTGAGTTAGCCTGCAGTACTGCATTCTAACTACTGTGCCACCACAGCTCAATAAATGCTATAAAAACAAAGACAAATAACTATAAAAGGATATAAATAATACTAGAATTTATAAAGCACTACGATAATACAAGATGATGTTAGCTTATGCTATGTCTTTACACTTGCTGAAGCTCTTCTAGTGTTTTCTGTAATTAAGACCATTATGCTTCAGACAATAACAAATAAAACAAAGTAAAATGAAAACAGAGAGCCATAAAAGTATAAAAGAGGAAGGAGGAAAGGGAGGAAAATATATTGACTTATGGGAGCCTAGTTAAAGCTCAGCATCACCTCACTTGGAGGAATTTTTACATTTAATCGTAGGTCTAACATAAAATCTGGCTATGTAGTTTGAAATCTCTACCACCCAATTAACTAGCAAGAGACTAAGATATTCAGCCTCTAGCCAGTCCAGATATTGTGTTATATATGGGGAAATACACATTTCCATAGATTTCTATAAAAAAGGCAATTCATCAACACATGACCCTCAGTTTCAGCTTCCCCTTCACTACAAGGACAAAGTTGCAACTTTTTTGGTGTATTCTAGAATCTTCCATCCAGAAAAGAGGAAGGGAGGGCACAATAGTAGAAGCTCTTCTGTGTTTTGGGGGAATAATACTGTATACACATTCCTCTATTTACATTCTGAAAGGCTGTTTATAAGTCCATATTAAAAACTGAAACTCAGATATTTTTTTCAAATCCTGTGGATGAAAAGAAAAGTGGCTTCTCCTTTTTACAACTAAGAGTATTTCCATCTGTGGAAAAACTGCAGCAAAAGGGAGCAAGGCTTATGGACGCTGAGGCATTAAAAGAAGGAGATAAGAAGAAAAACAGAATCACTGTGGGGGTGGGGAGAAGATATTTTTTCCATTTCTGTCTGAATGACCAATTCAAAATAAAACACTTAAGAGTAAAAAAGAAACTTCCCTGCAAGCATCCAGTGCTGTAGGGAGCAGTCCAAGCCTTGAAAAATCTGTTTAAATAAATTTACACTTTTAACAAGCTGCCTACTCTCCGAAAAAAAAATAGCTAAAAACAGTATGTCTTGTAAAACCTGTCATTCTCACATCTCTTCTACTTCTGAGAAAGATTAGAGGATTCTACTCTTTCTCCATATCCTTTTCTTTTTTACTTTAAAATTGTGTCTTTCTTCCTACAAAACATTTAAGGGGATTTGGAGAAAAAGGAGAAATCTCTCTGTGACCCTTAGTGGTGGTATATTACTATAAGCCTTTATGGATTACTGCCTTGTCATGGTGAAGGGGCTTGCGTAACTCAATGAAGCTATAAGCTATGCCATGCAGGGCCACCCAAGATGGACAGATTATAGCAGAGAGTTCTGACAAAATGTGATCCACTGGAGAAGGAAATGGCAAACCACTCCAGTATCTTTGCCATGAAAACCCCATGGACAGTACTACTCCAGAAGATGGTAGAGGACAGGAAGACCTGGAGGAACGTTGTCCATGGGGTCGCGATGGGTCAGACACGACTTCGCAATTAACAACAACAAATTACTATAAGTTGAAAAAAAATAAGAAAAAGAAAAAAAATACTTTTCAAGGATATTGGATTACCCTTTCTAAAACCATTCCTCCAGTACAACTAGCAATTTTTGGCAGTCCTTGATTTGTATGATATAATGAAATTAAGCTCAGTACCTGCATTCATATATACATAATGCTACTCCAAGAGCTTTAAATAATACCATGATTTTTTCTAGTTTGCCCAAGATGCTAGCGTATAGCCAGTGCATTTATTTATCATTCCAATGCAAAAGCAAACCAACCATATTAAGTCCCAATGTCATGATGTGAACTCAGCCAAATAACATTCGGAAAGATAGGTTCATACCTGCAATGCCACCAGCCATCCACGCTGCAAAGGGAGTGGGAGAAAGACATTCTTCTGAAGTGATCCAGACGGAAACCAATGCGTAAGGGATAAAGTAGAGGCAGTATCCTGGGACATCCCTCAGAAGCATAGCGGTCGTACCTCGAAAGAGTCCTGCCAGACCTTCTTGCTGAAGAATTGTAGTGACACAGTGAATTGGACCTCGATAGGCAGCCTGTACTGAAATGCCAGTTGCTTTGTGCTTTATTTCCAAGTTGGCTAGACAGGAAGTAAAAGGAGATTTCAGGGTCAGATACAAATAATTCTTCAGAGATTTGCTGTGTATATTGGCTTAGGAGGCAGGCAGTATTATTTGTTTTGATTTCTTCCAGAAAGCTAAAAGGGTAGGGATACCTCAGATCGCAGGAGGGGAGGGCATGCCAAAGGGCTGGGGTGGCCAGCGGGTATATAGCGAATTGATGAGATACTTTCTATTTTAAGGCTCTTCCTTGATCTAGGACTAGGTTCACTAGATAGAAGGTAGAAGATAGAATAACAGAGTTGGAAGGGACCTTGTAGGTCATCTAGTCCAAGCAGGAGACCCTACAACATTTCTGACAGATGGCATCCAGTCTCTTCTTGAAAGCTTCCAGTGATGAAGGCAAACTGTTCCATTGGTTGATTGTTCTCGCTGTCAGAAAATTTCTCCTTATTTCTAGGTTGAATCTCTCCTGGATCAGTTTCCATCCATTATTCCTTGTCTGGAACAATAGTATGGAAAATAGTATGGTGCCACCAGAAATTAGAAAAAGGAAAATGATTCATGGAATTCAAACACCCACATTTCATCCCATTGCAAGTGATGTGATATATCTGATGAAATCAGAAGTTTGCTTAATTTAGAATTACTTTCAGCTAATTTTTTTTCCTTTGACTTTATGTTTCAGTTGTACTCATGCAAGTGGTGATGTGTTTGTTTTTTTCCATGTCTGTTTCCCTCATGCTCTATTTGGTTGCTTTCCAAAGAAATCTGGTTGTGATCTTTGTGCAAAACAATACTTAGACTATCGACCTGGGCATGAACCAGCAACATTTGTGTTGTGCTATTAGTGACTCAAATTATATTATTAAAGAAAGGTGAATATTTTTAAATTAAGGTAAATATTTTAAATGATATGTAATTTAAACCCAATATGGAAATATTCATACTGAATGAACTATAATTCAGGGATTCTTTCAGAGATAGCTGTGTTATTGCCTTATAGGAATAATTATATGGAATAATCAATGTGCAGAACAAAATAAGGTTGCATTAAAATGATGACACATGTTTTGTGTTTGGATAGAAATATATAAGCTGTGAGTTTACTGTCATGACATCATGACATGTTATATCCTATCCTATCCTTTCCTATCCTATCCTATCCTATCCTATCCTATCATTATATTATACATAATTGGTATGGGAAAAGAACGATGTGGTAGCCTAGTGATGAAGATGCTTGCCTCCCATTCAGAAGATTGAGAGTTCAATCCTAGGTAGTGGCAGATATTTGTCTCCTAGTGCACAAAGAAAAAAAATATATACTGTATGCTGTGACCCGCATAAGGTCAGGAAAGGTATCTGGCCAATAAACGCTCAGTTCCATCCATTTGCCCCAACTCTACCCTAAATAAAGGAATTACAGGGTGGTAAAAAGGAAGGTTTTTTTTAAAACTGGTATGATAAAAAGCAAAGATATGTTCTGGACTTACCCTTAGGAAAAGTCTGTGTCTGCATCTGTAGCCTTATTTTTACTAGGTCAACTGGGCAACCAATTCCTACTGAGAAAGCCCCAGTTACCATGCTTGCTAAAGTTATATCTGTGAGTGCAGGAGGATGATTAGGTATCCCATAGCGATGTTGGCAAATAAACCTTTGGGTACTGCTGAAGACACCAAATACCAATGAATTATAAGCAGCAATGCTGATTAAAGGGAAAGACATTCCCTTAAAAAAACCAGTAACCTGCAAGAAAAGTAAAATAGGATGTGAATAAGATTCCACTGGAGTTGGGCAGCCAATAACATAAATAACATTTATTTCATTGCCCCTTTAAGACCCAAATGACAACTTTTCAATAGCTTTTTTATTCTTGCTGGAAAACTTGTATTCCACATTCTGGACATGGCCTTATATTTTTAGTTTTTGAAAATCTTATCTGTCTCTCCATTAAGATTTTAAATTAGCAAATTAGAGGAGACTCTGAAGGGCACAGAACATATAAAATCTAAGAACTGAATATTGCTAATGACAGATGTTAGATGAATTTTGCAGTCAATGCACTTTAATAATGGAAAAGAATTGATCAATTATAGTTCTGACCACATCTGAAACAGAAAGTGTTGTTTATATTAAAATGAAAAAAAACCAGTTTAATATACATAGTTAGACATGAAATTTCTTTCTAGAGGTAAATGAGTAGAGAGATCTTGAAGGGATTGAGAACTGATAGAACCACAGCACTGAGTTAGTTTCTATATCTAGCACAAATAGGTTGCCTATGAGTGTTGTGTAAGAAATTCTGCTCTGGTCTGCTCCATTGTCCACAGGCTGGACTTAATGAGAACAAAAAGTACGTGGAAAGTTGATGAAACATAGAAAATTATAATGAGTTAATGAGCTACAATAGGAACAATATAGAGAATATAAGAAACAGATTTCTTGGATTCTAGTAAAAAGACAGATTATGTAGTTACTAGGGAACTTCTAGTTTTCATCCAGACATCCCCTAATTATATTGGGGGATATATTGTACTGGGGGATTATATATTAACTTATTAATCAATGTAGAACGTATCTAAGAACTTCCCTAACATAATTTTTATGACAAAGCAGAATGTACATTCTTGTGTAGGGTCTCTGATTCGTAATCCATAAAACATTGATGTACTTAGGAAGAGGTGCTCAGTGCTAGAAACTATAGTGTTGTTTTCAACAACAGACGTGGGAAAAATGAATATGTTCCTAATTGTCCATATTAATGATCTTTAAACAGTCACTACCATTTTGTACTATATGGCATCATTATATATTCTCTTGTGCTTCTTTAACTTTCCTTTTTCTCTTCATCACCCGTGCTTTCTTCTGAAGAGACCCAAAATAAAGGAAGTGGTAAGAAAAAGAAAGGGGAAAAATACATACTGTATGCTTATCTTTATAAACCTTCTGGCATTACAAATACTATATATTAGAAATATATAGGTATTAAAAGCGGAAAGCACAAAAACAGACTTCTGTTAATTTTGTTAAGCACCAGGAATTCTTACTTGAAATATTAGCAGATCTTTCTGAATTCTTTTTGTAATTCTTTTTGTAGTACTCCAGAAATCATATTCTTTGACATTCTTGTTGAAGGCCACTGTCAAGCTCTTGGCAATCCACTTTTATAGAAAGCAAGATTCTCCCAGAGTTTCTTTTAATAAGATTTATTGAAAGAGAACAGAACAAGGTTACAGAGATCTCAGCTACTGGATTGCTTTACCTTAAAACCTAATTAATAGCCACCTAGTTAAAGTAGAGTTTTTCAGTCTTTTACTAACAACAACAACAACAAATCTGTATAAATTGACAAGGAAGGTATGATCTTAATTGATGAGAGAATATCCCACTGGCCAGAATGTCACTTTACCTTAGGTTTTTAATATATCATTATAACCATATTCTAAGATGACAGGGAAACACTTGGCATGGAGGACTACACAAATAATATTGTTTGAAAAAGTTTTGTTTCTTTGATGTGTTTGTGTTTTTGTGATGAAGAATATTTACCATAAGAAGAATTGTCCCTTAACAAGGAGCAGAAAAATGCATTTGGCGTGAATTTTGTGAGCTGATTAAGAGAGCAATGAAATTCCAAAAACTATCCCAGCATGATTCCAAATGTTGGAAAGTGAAACATGTGTGAAACCAGAGTCACAGCGGAAGAAGTCCCAAAATGCAAGAAAAATCAACACACATGGTTTCCAACCCCTCTCCTCTACCCAACTGCATGCAATGTGTTTGAAATAAGATGAATGGTTTATAAATACATCAGTAATAATTACAGAAAGATGGTAGGATGACATGTAGAAGTTGAATGTAGAAATTGAATCTTATAATATCATATTACATGTTAAAAAAGAATAGGTTAGTTGGAAAAAGAGGGTTAATGTTATAATCAGATATTGATGTATATATACCTAAAAGCATGATTTGAGTATTTCAATAAATTATGCCAACAGAGTACAATAGAGTACTGTAGAATACCAAAGATCAGTCTCAGTAATGAAAAGCAGATTGTATCTTTAGAAGCCAAACTCAATGAAGCATGGATCATGGAATTAGAAGGGGCAATTTAAGCCATCAAGTCTAGCTGCCTGCTGAAAGCAGAGTCCGAATTAAAGTAACGCCATCAGAAGGATGCCTAGCCTCTACTTGAACTCATTAGTAAAGGGGAGTCCACTTCTTTATGGGGAATTGATTTTACTTCTAAGAATTTGTCTTCTGGAATTTAATCGGATAATATATTCCATGTCTCATGCTCTGAAACAACAGAGATGTTCAATGTCTTCTATGTGTCATTCTTCCAGGTATTCAAAGCATGTTATTAAATCCCTCACAATCTTCTCAAGACTTACTATTCCTATTCCTTCCATTGCTTTTCATGGGACATTTTCTCAGGACAACTTTATAGGGGAAACCTTGTTTTGTTTGTTTACTTTCATGTTTATACTTCTTTTATTTTTCTATGTTTTAATTTTGTTTTGATGAGCTTTTCCTTTTTTCTTATTGTTCAAGCAGAAAAATATATCTTCCTGACAATCAACCAACCAAACAGTCATATAGTACATACTGAAGACACAATTCCATTTCAGTGAGGAAGAACAAACTACCTAAAATAAAGAAAATCTGATAGCAGAAACTTATAGAGCATGTCAGGAGAGTTTCACCTCAGAGTGAATTTAGTTATATGAGATACTCTTAAGAGTAAAAGAAAAAAGAATGAAAAAGATGCATTTTAATATCGGGGGGGGGGGGGAAACCAGACATGGATAGAATGTATGGACAAGTAATAGTTATTGTTCTATTTAAGGTAAAATAAAAGGCTTTCAATTCCTCTTTTATCAACAAGTCTGCCTTTTGCATAAAATGAAGGCAAAAACACAATAGGTATATTGTATGATATTTCCAAACTGGAAAGGGAAATGTTTTATGGATGTTCATGATACGAAAGAGGATAAATTTCTATATTTAACTATTAAACTACAGTGTGTGGAGTTTACCTTATGTGGAAAACTTGATTGTGTTTTGTTTATTAAGGATTGCTAATATAGGTATCTTAATATCTGAAGCAAGAAATCACGGGTGATAGAATGGATTTATTTGCTGCCCCTGACTTTCAAATGAGGTAATTCACCTTAAGTTTAGAAATAATCTTTCTATCATTCTCAACTGTTTATGGTAGGGGCACACTGCCTCAGAAAATAATGAAGATCTTTGGGATGCTCTTCAACTGTAAAATAGGTTTATGATTCTTGTTCTAAAATACTAGTTAGCCAATAGTGAGGAAAGGTTAGGAGCCTTCCAGATGTGACATTATTCTACAGACACATATCACTTAGCAATAGCACTTAGATTTATATTGCTTCATAGTGCTCTACAGCCCTCTATAAGCAGAGTCAGTATATTGCCCCCAACAACCTGGATCCACATTTTACCAACCTTGGAATGATGAAAGGCTGAGTCAACCTTGAGCCCCATCATGGTCGAACTCCAGGCTGTGGGCAGAGTTAGCCTGCAGTATTGCATTCTAACCACTACACCATCACAGCTCCACATACACCATTATTATTAATATCTTTGAGTGGATTCTATTTTCCTTCTGCTTCGGTTGCATGATTTGACCAAAACTATTGTAACTAAAGCAGGAGAAAGCTGAAACATGAAAGAGTGCTTGCAGCCAGCAATAGTGGCGTGTGGAGGAGAAACATCATATTCCTTTGATTAGATCTAAACACCTGTCTGGGAGAGCCCACAGTCTGCACTGCAAAATGCATGCCAGAGTACTTACTGCATGAGTAAGAATGTCAGAAGAGAGCTGAGAAAACATTGTTCAAAATCCCACTTATCCATCAACTGGTTATAATCTCTCTTACAGTTGTAATGAAAAGATTGCTTGACTTACTGTATCATAGAATATTCATTTTATATTTACATGAATACTCATGGAATTAGAATACATACTAAAACTACATGAGTTTCCTAGAGAACGAGGAATTAGCTAATATCAAAAATATTAATAAAGAAGCACATTATACTTTGCTCCTTCATGTATTTTGGACATTCAGAAATCCTGATGGATGGAAACAAGGCATAATATACGATATCAATATAACTTCAAATCCACATTAATTATGAAAGTTTTTTGGGGGGGAAGAAAGCTGTCAATATACAAAAAAAATCTGAATTGTTTTCAGTTCTTCAGAATTTTTCATGGACGATTTACCTAGATTGCACTTGTCATCGCAGAGATTTTGAAGGCCATAAATGTTTTACTTGACAGACAATATACAAGCAAAATAGCAAATCAGAATCAAATTTGGGTGTTCTTACTACATGGTCTGAACACTGATGTGCCATCAGTACATAAATTTGTTGATAAAAATACTAATAGGTGAAGTCTTCCATTAATATTGGGAACAGTACAAATGGTATTAACCATGACATAGAATTTTTTTAGTTGAAGCTTTCTCTGAACCTTTTAGATGACTTGTCTGGAGACAAAGCTTATAAATTAATGCACATCAAAAACTTCCCTTGTTCTCTGCACAGGCATATTTCAGATACAAGAACATACTTACAGCTTCATTTTTGTATATAGTGCAGACACAGTTAACTGTGTTTCCATAGCCTTGCCCAGCTTGTAAGCGAGTCTACAGAAGAATACAATTATGAAATGCAATTACTGAGAGCACACATTTAACAGACAAAGAACACTTGTATTTTACTCCAATTTATGCTTTGTTCCAAAAGAGGAGAAAACAAGAAAATGTGTATTTTATCAAGTGTCGGCCAAAGATAACAAGTGTATATAACAGCTTAATCTTCATTGTCAGCACACTCTGCAAATGAAAAACATGGACCCTGAGTGTTATGCAAATTTACCTGATTTATGATTATCATCTTCCTAACTTCTTTATGCACACTTCTGATTCAGAATAATCCGGCTTTCTTAAATATTATGCTTAAATGTGTCTTATGATTGGTAAGTATCTCTGCATGTAAACAATGCAGAGTAAAACAATGTCATTTCTGCAATGTAGAATTTTGTAGAATCTATAGGTTTTGGGAACTCCATGCATTACCCTTCTGCATAGAATAGCTGGATTAATTACATTTAATTAAATTTTACAGAAACAGTTTCCAAGCAAACGCCTGATGGTCTGAAATTAGGTGGTCATCTCTGTATTGGACAACAAAGTCTGGACACCATTCATCCGAGGACTCTTGTCTTGGGCAGGGTGTTGGATTAGAAGGCATCCAAGGACCCTTCCAATCCTATGATTCTATGATCCTATACAGTTATTCATACTCTATGCACATAGCCACCACTTGATAGATGATCTCTATTGTAATCCACTATTCCTAAAATTCAATTGAGGAAAAAAACTCCATTTATTATTTATTATAAAAATACATTTAATAAAATCAAGACATGACATGGATTTCTGGAATTTTATAAAAGCCCAACTAAAAATCCCCGTGGGGTATATGCTTCAGGCAACATCCCACATATATTCTCCGCTACATAATTGCAAATTATGATTGCTCCTATTGGAAAAGATTTGTATTGAACTCGATTTGTATTGAACTCACTACTTTTTATAGTAACTAGCAGGGTATCTCTAGCTATGAGTCTTACACAGTCATAATCTGAGACTGAACTTGCAAATCTTATGCTTTGCTATTGAGTTTTGCTCATGTCCAAGAGCTCTAACAAAGCCCTGTGCCAGAATTAGTGCTATTTAATGTATTGATTCATGGTTTGAAAGGAAGAATAGAACGCACTCCTAAACAGCTCATTCCAAAACAAGAATAATTGCCTTACTTGGGCAGAAAATAAAATGTGCCCTCACACAAAAGGAAAAGATAAGAATCAAATACATTATCAAAAGAAATACAAGTAAAGTGATTATGAGAAATTCATCTCCCATTCTTTCATTATTGCTTTAGTATGCCACACCTCATAGCTTGAATTGATAATATGCTTGAATACCATGTTTGGTTTTATTTGTAACACAAAGAAATGTTTACTGTCAGTACAGTCCTAATTTAAAAATGAACTAGTGAAAATGAAAACAGAGTCAATGAGGGCTGGAAAAATAAAAACGGTGTCAGGTGGAAGTTTATAAAGCCAACATAAGTAGGGGGAGAAAATCTGTTCTGTTAGATGACCAATATAAAGTTATAGTGCAGCTATAAATAACATAAGTCTTCTTAATCACAAGAATCATATTAAAAAATCTTGAAGCGCTTGCAGATTAATATTTCAATCCAATAATCGAGTGCAATGAGCCCTACCAATCAGATTTGCAAATGGAAATGCTTCAACATTGGAAGTCTTTAAGAAAAGATTGGACAACCATTTGTCTGAAATGCCATAGGGTTTCCTGCCTGAGCAGAGGGTTGGACTAGAAGACCTCCACCGTCCCTTCCAACTCTGCTATTCTATTCTGAGCCCTACCAATCAGATTTGCAAACAGAATGCACATGAGCCCTACCAATCAGATTATTTGCCATGACTGACATTCTTGCAAATGCATATTACCCCTCTTTCTTTTGTCATATGCAGAATAGCAATAATGAGAACGAGAAGTGGTTTGTACTCTTGGTGGAGAATCTGGCTCCCCAAGTCTCAACTTCCCATGGGGCACCGGTTTGAAAGGAAATACTCCTGAAATATCAGCAAGGATTACAGCACAGAGGCTGAAGAAATGCCACTCAGCAAGCAGAATACTGCCAGAAGGTTTTGTTCCCTTTTTCTTACTGAAGAGAAGATTGGCTGGCATGAGAGTGTCTCTCTCTTAAGCATCCTAGTTTCTGCAGGGACAGCTCACAATAATATTGTCTGAAATTGAGCCTGGAAGGGTTGGACAGAAGTTTCATTATCAGAATGTCTCCCCGACCTCTGTAGTCAAGAATCATTTATCCTGGGACATTCTGAAAACAAATTCCTTATTCGGAGTGGCAAATAATTGCGAGTTAGGGCTGATCCTTTCAATGAGTGCAAAATTGGCTATTTTAGAAAAGTTTGATTTAGAATAGGAGACCCAGTTCAAGTTCCTATTCAGCCATAAAACTCTTTTGGTGAGTTTGGGCTCATCACCAACTCTCAGCCTAATTTATCTTAGAGAATTATTGTGAGGATAAAAAGGAGGCCTACGTATTTTAGCTTCCTTGGATAAATTGTGGGAAAGAAAAAAAGAACCGCTTTCTCAGCAAAATCACTTACTAGCAGCCATTGCAAAGCCTGTAAACTTCTATCCCTCCCTCTACATATAGACTGGTGTATCACTGTGATAGGAACAAAAGTGCCATGTAACCTTCACAGTTGGGAGGACTACCTTAGCAGATGTGCATTTCATTGGTTTTGCAACAAATATCTATACTGAGGTGTATCACCATACTAATCAAAATACATACAGAGTTTTGGACCTTGATAGCTCTTCTGATAAGCAAATTTGATATAAACTTAATGAATTCCCTGAAAGAAGAAAAAAGTTGATGATAGACAGATAGACAGACAGTATAAATGGTTGTTTTAAACATACAAATGTCTGGATCTTATCAAGAAATGCCACAATGTATCTATGGAGAGAAAAATCCACTAATAAGTCTTATTAGCAGGAGGTCAGTAGTGATAAGGAAAATGTACTAGGCAGCCAATCAGCTTGAGATATTGGAGAACTACATAGCAAGCTTGTTTCCTTTTGTTTCCACTCCGTTTGTTGCCCTATCCCTGAACCCCCACCTTGCATTATAAAGGAGAATGTATGTGGGCTATGGCTTTCTTGCTGTCCAGATATCTGAAAGAGAGAAGCAGCCAGGAAACCTCAGCAACAAAGGAGGCGAAACAGCGCCAAGGGGCTTCGTTGCTCAGAGTGGGTGGTCTGGGTTTAGGCCTAGACAGATACTGGCACCAACTCAACTAATTAGTGATCAATGTTATTTGTGCACTGCTGCTTTTGCAATGACAACATATTGGAAAAAGTAAACTTATCACCCCCACCTTTTTGTGTGTGTGAGAGAGAGGAATACCTCACAAAATGTCTGTATAGGGTATTTGCAGTAGTAAACATTAACTACTGCACTGCGGTCTATGCCAAAAAAAGCAGAACATTTTTTTTAGGAAGCAGGTTTGTTATTCATAAGATCAACAGCATAATAACTATGAAACCCCAACACCCCACTCACCCATCCACCTTCAAAACCAATCCAGTGTAGCAGTGTTATAATCCAGGTTATATATAAACTGCTTTCCAAATTCTTCTCATTCACTGACCATCATGTTATTTTCTTGTTTATTGAAATCTGGCATGTTTCTAACTGGGCTCAAGGTTTTGCAAAGAGTCAAAGTACTCACTTCGAGCATGGTCTCTATGCCTTATTTGTTGATTTGAAGAGACTTGCTGTACTAGGACATAATCCACATTCAAATACACTGAGCTATTCAGCACAGCTCTCCGCTCTCATTCCCTTATTCCTCAGGATGCACCTTTGCTACTTAATCAGTAAGTACTGAATTACTCTATGACTCTGCTTCTTAATTCACTCTTTAAGATCTTTCCCTTTCCCTTGCTGATTTGGAAATGGAACAAAGCTGCCTAGTTGCCGTTCCCAAGCTGCATCAAGATCCAATAGTAAAGAAGGGGCCAGCTTGACAGTTGTATTGAACGATGTGTGGCTTGTTTCTTGGCTGTGCCCAAGCAAAAGTAGGAAACGTAGCAAAAATGTTCCCACAAGGTCTATTGTTGACTCCTAGCACGCGCTACCAGCAATGACAGTAAAGCCATCCATTTGGCAGAACTGGAAAGCACATATTCCTTTAATACTCCCTTCCAGACAAATTCACGGACAGCACAGCAAATTGTAAATACACAAATGTGATTAGTTCTTTGGCACAGTTATTACAGGAAAGGGGAGCATTCAACCAAAGACTGTACTTTGGCACTTTTGTCTTTAAAATCCTCCAAGCATACAGAAGCACAATCCTATTCATGGGAACCTAGTAATTGTTACATATTGCATCAGTGTGCACCACGAAGTGTATGAAGCCATGAATGAAGAAAATAAACTGCTTGTTACAATCTCAGGACTTATTCCCACATTAATAAAAGTTTCCTTCTAATCCGCTGTGCCATCCAAATGCATCAAAGTAATTCTTCAGTTGTACCATAATACATCCAAATAAACTGTTGGTGACAGGGTGCTAAATCGAGAATCTGAATTCTGATGGAATATACTTATTCAGAAGTCAACTTCTTCATGGGTATATTTAAATTATAACTACTACTGTAAAAAAAAAGTTTCACATAACTACAATAACCTCCCAAAAGGAATAACCTTCCAAATAAAAATCCCAGTTTCAATATAACGTAAACTTAATCCCCGGCAGAAAGGGGGCAATAAAGGTTTATTAATTTTCTAGAATATAGGCAAGATCACTCTGGGCTTATCTGTACTCTGCATTGTCAGTATTTTTTTTAAAATAGTCCTAAGTATTTACCTTAGTAGCAGATTCCCCCCAATTCACCTAAAAGTAGTAATCAGATACTACACATGAGCTTTATGAATGTGCTCTATAATTAAACCAGGACAGAATTTTTTTGGTTATGTTAATCACACAAAATATGCCCTTCCAGAGAAAATATCTCCGTTCTCCCTAGCGCTAAATGATTTATTTACACGTGTAAGAGTGCATTAAATATACACATACATACGCTAACCTTTACTGTGTCCAAAGGATGTCCCACGATAACACCTGCAGCTCCTGTAATTTAAAATAATAATTAAAAGAGTTTTGTGAAAAAGAAAACAACAACAAAAGAACATTTTTCTATCGACGCCCAGCATTTGTGTCACCATAACTAATCACAATTCTTCCTTGTTCAGCTCCCACTGTCAGAATTATGTGACCTATGAAACAATGGGAGCCATAGATGGGCAGTAGAGAACCACAGAGGAGCCACTGCAAATCAGCTCCCCAGCAGTAGTTTCCACCTAAGCTCTAAGGACTAGGAAAGAAGCAGAAGTTACTATTGTGGAGGAACACATGGCTTTTAAGGCCTGTGTGAGCTCGTTTCTTCTAGTTATGTTGTCTCTAGGATTCTGCTTACCAGAAATATATAGATTTTTTTTTTATTCCAGAGGGTTTAATAACACAGTGTCAGTAACCAGATTCAGAAAATTTGCACAAAGCATGACTTTAAGAAGGAATTGCAACTTTGCTACTCAACATGATTTGAAAATTAAACAAAATTAGATGCTGGCTTCAGCTACCCAACTTTGGAACAAGGAGGAAGGTTATTTTCATTGATTCTTTCTCCCACCTACAACATTTTCTGCCATCTCCAGTGCTCATTTGGAGAGCCACTCCGGTGATCAGGGGCAAAGAGCAAATTTTAATTCACTGCAGGAAAGTTTCCTAAATAAAATTCCATTGCTTAATTTAATTCGTTCTTTCCTTTTTTTTTTCTTGGATTCATGATTCAGGTAATTTGCTGGATAATGTTTAATCTATTAGTAAGCCTTAGAAATGACTACCCATCATTTTAATTAAAGAATCTGAACTGGTTTATTTAGCTTTTTCTAATCTGATCTATAACAGTGTGTTGTTTTTTTTAGTATGGGAATATAGTATGTTTATTGTATAATATAAAGGATAACCCCCAAGGTAGACACATTTCTATCATAAGGCATGCTCTGAAAAGGAGATGTTTATTTCTGGCAATATGAGTAAATGACATTTGTAACGGTTGCTATCTGTACTGTAAAGGTGATAAGTCATTTACATTTTCCAAAGTATTCATTCCATTAGCATTTACAACTTGACAGTATTATTGTTCAAGGAGTCACCAGATATTAAGGAATGTGATCTGTCTAGATTGACAGGTTGTTTGGTTGCAGATGTTTCATTAGTCAACTAGATAACATCATCAGTGCTTATGAATGTGGGGCTTGCTTCCTGTTTATATATAGTAGCTTGCCCAGCCATCATTGGTGGTGGTGTGGTTTTCTCCTCGGTGGTTCATTGATTAGAGTATTGTGTTGTTCTTGATTGTTTGTCTGGTGATAATCCCTGCTTGATGGCTGATTCGTCTGAAGGCTGAACTTCTAGACTTTCCCTAGCAGCAACCCAGAACACCAGAAAAAGGAAACAGACTGTACAATGTCTTCCAACAAAGTGGATAGTACACAATTTTATCAGAAAATGCCTGGCCTCTCAACCCACTATAGCACAACTAACACGAGCTATAAAAAAGGAAACACTGCCATACATTTAAAACACCTTAGAAACTACTAACAGATTATACAACCACAAAGTATCATTGTAGCACACAAACCAACTAAAGTCCTACAAAACATATTAAGTAAGTCAGAAGACCTAGTAGCCCACGAAATAAAAACAGAATGTTATACCCACATTTTAACTCCATTCAAAAGAGACAATAAACACCTAAGAAGGAAATAAACCACAATACATTCTCTCCAACAACTAATACCCAGATAAAGAGGGACTAATACTAGATTGGTTGTTATGCCTGCTTGTATATGTATTTTAACACTGTGTGGGGTCTCCGAACTTGGTGACTTTAATACTGGCTGCAGAATTCTGAGAATTAAAGTCCACAAGTCTTAAAGTCACAAGGTTTGAAGAGCCCTGGTATAATGGAAGGGCATGGTAACCTGCTCTCTGGGCTGATTGCCTTTCAAGATGTTGACAAAGTATGTCAGAGTAGAGAGGATTGTCTTGAAGCAGTTTAAAGTTAAACCAGCATAAATACAGATCAGGAACGGATGAGAGTGCTGTGTGTAATATAGCTTGAGTCAAAAAAGGCAAACATTATTTTCTTCTTCCTCCCAAAAGCAAAAGAGCCTTTGAATCCCTACTTTCCATACTTGTATATGGGACATCTGCTTAATGAATAGAAGAAACAGAAAAATAGTAATTTTTCATTTGCTAAGACTATCATCACTCCAGATTTCTCTCCTAATTATCTTCTACATTCACTGCAGTCCAACCCAAGTACAGTCTGGCAAGTTCTGCTAGAACCCTACATAAATTGCAACCAAAGGCAATTGGCAATTTATAAGAAGTTTTCTTGCAAGGACTGTTAAAGAATGAGTTACAGTGCTTGCTATCCTGAAGCCACAAGCCAAGTGATTATGAAGAAAGCCATGGGTTTTCACCTAGGGGTTTAGAATAAGTCACTGTGAGTCTTCCATTGGTCATTTAAATTGCACTGACAAGATCTTAATGTCAGACTTTATAGATAAAGAGCATAAATTACTATTTTCCAGTATTAATTTAAAGAACAAAGGATAACCAGTGGCATAAAGCATGTTTGACAAGATGCAATACTTCTCAGGTGAGAAGATTAAGAGAGAATCAAGTGAACAAGACCATATATTTTTATATGTAAACTTTATTCAACCACATGTGATAATAATTGTCTCTCCCTCCAGAGTTATTTTATTAAGGGAGCAAGTTCATCAAGTAATGGAAACTATGCAGAGACATATTTATCATGTTACCATGTACAACTCTACTTTTTATATATACTCCATTGAAACTCAATATACTCCATGGGTGATGCCAATGTGTAATTCTGAGTTGAAGAGAAGAAATATGCAGACATTCAGAAAACATAGTAAATAGAGTCAGGACTAAAATTAGGATAGTTAACTCCCTAGAAAATAGAAGTCCTGGAAAAAAATTGGAATCCTTAGACCATAATATAAAAACCAAGGCTAAATAACAGAAAAGCAGATATTATAAAAGGCTGCTGTATCTCAGCAAGATGTATAGATAGTATTAGATAATTTTAACTTAACATTACAGGTAGTTCTTGTTTAGTGGTCACAAATGGGACCAGCAACTCAGTTCTTAACCAAAGCAGTCACTACATGAAACTGCAATTGTGTTTACGATCTTACTTTAGCTTTCCTTTGCTTTACTGATCTGTAAAGGTCATAAATGCAAGGATTGGTCATAAAGTTACCCATGTCTCCTATTTCTAAATGTGGTAAATGGGAATTTTAATTCACATTTTGTCACCAGAGGTACTGATATTATGACCATTCCATGGAAATAATGGGATTTTCCAAAAAATCTCTATCCCATGGATGCCGCTCCATTTGAGCACTCTGCAAATCTATATGTGTATGGATT